CAGGAAGGACTCCCTCCATCTTGGGACTGTTTTCTTCTATTTGTAACAATTGAAAAGATGAAACAAGGGTTAGAAGAAGAAAACAGGGTTTACCTCCTCTATTATCTGCAAGTCAGCAAAACTTTCACAGCTATGGCTGAAAATCGGAAATACAGAAATGAGAAACTGAATTCTATGAAAACAAAAAATGGACAGCAAAAGACGCCGAGGCAAATGCAGGCCGTTCGGCTGTGAGGGGCAGAGAGAGAACTGTGTCACCATGCGGGACAGGCTGCCAGGGGGACAGAGCAGAGGAACACAGAAGAAACCTACCTAGGACGTTACACACACACAGCCACTTAGGGCACAACGAAGGAAGAACAAAGCATAATGTTGTGCTGGTTTCCAAAATTCTCCCATAAACCAGTGAAAAAAAATCTGATACCCATTAGGTAGGAAGGAACCAGAGCAGCAGGAGACAGGACTAGAAGCTAGACTTCCTCTCTCTGGGCAAAGACAGCCTTGCACTCTCACACAATGCAGTCAATTAGGATAATGTATATCCAAACACCAAGCACCAAAGCTTTGGTCCACTCAAAAAACAAACTTGCTGCTACGGGGAACACCCACGGTGGTTATTAAAAAAATGCTTTGCGGCAAACTGTTTAGGTCACAAAGATTTAAAATCTCATGGGCTATCATTCCATTTAAATTCCAGTGTTGTCATTAGGTCAGAACGAGGGATTTTCTCAACAGCACGAGAGTGAGCTACGAAGACCCATTCTGAGAGGTTCTCAGGCTCCCCCAGACAGCACCAGCCCGGCTGTGCGCCTGGGGTTCAGTCAAGAGACGCGCCAGGACGACATCTGGCTGTCACTCGCGCTCCACTCACCTGCCAGGCACAGCCCGTCAAGTGACCTGAACAATCCAAGCTTTCTCTCCTCAAGATCATTAAATAACCCTAAAAAAAGGCGAATACCGGGCACACAACAGGAGTGCCATCTGCCAGGCCCCATTCAAGGTGCCGGGGTTAGGATTGTCGGCTCGGCTACTGCGCCAAAAAAAAAAAAAAAAAAAAAAAAGACCATACAGATAAGTGAAAAGTTGAAAATTAAAAATCACCTGAAACTCTCCACTAGTTCCACTAGTAATGCTTTGATATATATTCCATGACTCACTTTTAATCTCAATACTATGAAGTTATACTGTTATCAGTAATTATGGGAAAATTAGTAAGACTCAGGGACCATTTGCTTTATCCTTTTTTTTTTACTTAAAACACCTTCTATAAAAAAATGTATTTCTCTAATAATCAAAGTAAACATTGTTAGGAAAAAAACTTCCTAGTTTAAAATATAAAAAACAAATTTGGAGAGGATTAAATCTTTTTAAAGCTCTGAATGAAACGTGATGAACTTCTTTTAAACTCAGAAGCAAAGGAGATTGTAGCACACTGAATGGAAAAACCCTTTTAACTCCATTAATTTGTTAAAACTTTGAGAATAAAATCTGAACACTAATATTCTAAAACTTGAAAACTTGCTTTCCCGCTGTAAACCAGTGTCTAGTCTGAAACTCATGGGACTGTTTTTACCAGACTAGTAAGATAATTCTAACCAACTCAACAGCAGAGCTTTCATTTTCTTTCACCTACAAAATGATTTTCATTATATTTAATGAAGTTTAAAATGTCTACCTTCAATGCTACGCATTTACCTTTCCATAGTCTCTGGCTGTTTCCTCATCGGTAACCCCAAATTTCAAACAGCAAGCGTCTGTTAGTTCCTTCCACTGTACCTCAGTCAGGTGAGTACAAGCACGGAGGACAACAGCTCCCTTCCCACAAGCCCTGGGAAATGAGCAGGTGACGACAACCCACACATTGTCATTTCTCATTCCGGACCCACTCTGGACGACTGGAAGAAAACACTGCCGTCAAAGTCCTCCGTAATCCCGCACAAGGAGATGACTGAGTTAGGAAAGGCTCCAGGCAAATTCCAAACATCACATGCCCCCAGGAGCAATCCTCCGACGCCCCTGGGATATTAATGAAGCTCCTCTCTCCAAGTACTCACACCCTTGGACAACTGCTTGGTAAGGGACCGCGGGCCAGTAGGGGCGAGCAGCAGTCTGTGGAGCCCTCTGGCGCAGTGCCAAGCAGAAAGCAGCAGTTCTCCCTGGTTTAGATGGCCGCAAGGAAACAGGAAGGAAGCAAGCCTCCCAAGGACTGTGCACCACACACGCTCGGCCTGGGAGCCCTTGGGCCGACATGTCTGCAACTGCATGATCTGCTACCTACAGCCAACCTCCTTATGAGCTGTCATTCATCATTCCATTCTGACTCCAGGTGGCTGGGCATGCTCGGGAAATGTTCTGACTGGAGCTGTCTTTTTCTCCATCCCAACAAAACTAGCTAGCTTGTCAACACACGGTCATAAACTCAAGAGTAGCCAGAAGCCAAGCAGATACATGGGTGCATCGGCCAAGAGGAGATGTGAGAGTGCCAGGGCATGTCCCCCACCTGAAGAAAGGAAAATCCAAAAACCGAGAAGCTCTCTGATCACCAGCCCCACGTTGCAACTGCTGAAAGGGGCACATAAAATGAACAGTTCTTACCAAAAAGCTATGCAAAATGTCAGGGAGTCGGGGTACAGCACAGGCCCGGACTCTGCCCTCAAGGGCTGTGTGTCTGTGCATGTTAACTCTGTCCTCACTTCTGCGTCCCCGTTATTAATGCAGATTCCGTTGGAGGTTAACCTTACAAATCTTCAGATGGCAGAATTCAATGGATGTTGGAGGGTGAGTATAGTGGCAGGGCGGGCAGGGAGGGGGGACTCAACGACTGTGCCAGTGAAGTCATGTTTCCAGCTTGAAACCCACTGCCTTGACTCCAGCCAGGTCCTACTCGACAACATCTGGGAAACTCTGGCACCCCTCAGGCACTTTTGGCAGTATCCAGAAAACTTTCTAGTCATCACAATAGGGAAAGCCTACTAGCATGTGGTAGGAAGAGGCCAGGATATGGCGCCACACCCTACAGGGCACAGTCCCATCCACAATCATTTTGCCCAAAGTGTCAGAGCGCCAGTTTGAGAAACCCTCTTCTATTCGGTGATGCTGGAGCTGGGAGTCTACAAACAGCATTTTTTGAACTATTAACAAATAAAACAACCTGGATAAATCTTGGAAATACATATGGAAAAGTCTACAGTTTTGATAAATAGCAAAGACATGCAAATAAAATGAGATTTTTCTCTCTCAAACTAGCATTTTTTTCCCCCTAATACCCACTGAAGTACAAGAGTTAAATGACACATTAGAGAGAAATCATATACTGAAAGCTCTTTCAAAAAAGTAGTAAGACCTGGCACGGGGCCTTAAAATTTTTACACTCTGATAGTAATCTCACTTTCTCTAAGGACAAAAGCCCTAAGGACTAAGTCAGGAGAAAAGCTCAGGCTTATCCTAAAGCAAATCCTTTAAGTTGTGAAGTGATGTACAAACTACGCAAAAACAAGTGTGAAGAAACTGATTTTGCGTAATATACAAACCTGAGAAAATTTCTCAAAGAACTGTCCAGTTCCTGGTTTTACATCGTACTCCAGTTATGTAAGATGTAACTAAAGGGCAAACTGGGTGGAGGAGTACACGGGATCTTTACTAACTTAGTGTGAATTCATAGTTATGTTGAAACAAGATTTTTAAAGGTCAGCCAAGGGAAAAATTTCCAGGGCCAAATTTGGGTAGCACAGTTTATAAACAGATTAAGAGACCATGTAGTTTCTTCAAAATTAACTTGTATCAATGCATAGCTTGAGTCTCTGGCTGGCACAGCTGGGATCTAGCTTCACATTGAACAGCAGCTGCGCTTCTTCAGGAAGGCACTTGGCTTTAAAGATTCAGACGTCCGTGGCCAAATTGAAATATTTCAAACAAAAAGTTCAAGCAGTGGGCAACTGCAACACGTATTAGTTTAAATTTTCTAAACAGAATAGTAAGCAAATGGTTGGCTACAATGACTACACCTCGGCCAGATGAGCTGATGGGAGGGATTAATCCTATGAGAACCAGGTGGGCTCTGACCAAGGAGGATGCTGTTTTAGCACAACAAAAAAAGCACCAACAAAACACGAAACAGAAGCATAGAACCCAAATGGCAAGGAGCACAGACCCGTCAGAAGATGTTAAGAGCTTTCTGTTTTTCTTAAGATGCAGCAGATGTCAATATACAGTATTTTCAGGTAAATGGGGAGTGGAGTTTTAAAAGAAAGCCCTTCAAGCCTGGCCTAGGCCTGGGACGGAGAAGAGGAACGGTGCTGTGTTCGCACAGGAGCAGAGCGGAGCATATTCAACGTGACGATTTCATTTTATATTAAATAAAAGCCAACCAACCAGACACCGGGGCGTCCTCGCGAGCAGCTGGACAGGCGCTCGGCAACCGCGACTTCAGGGGGACGGCCCCGCACAAACCAAAGTGCCCGCAGGTAACAAGGCGGCTGCTGATAACGGGCGTCAGGCTCCCGGGGCAGATTTCCGGTCACGCAAACACGCCCCAGCTTCCGAAGCCGGCCGCCCGCCCGCGTTCCCGAGCCCGCCCGGCCCCGGACGGCACCTTCGGGACGAGGCTGCGGCGCCCCGGGCAGCCCTCGTGGGAGAGCCCCGCGGACAGCGCCGGGCCGGGCTCGCGGGGCGCTTCTCTCAGGGACGGGGCAGAGAAAGCGCCGGGACGGACGCGGCGCTGGAGGCCGCCCAGCCGGGCCGAGCCCGCGGCTCCCGGCGGCCTCCTCTGAGGACAGAAACCAACAGCCGCGCGGCCGCCCCTCCCCGCCCGCCGCCGCGCCGCGGGCCCGCTCCCGGGCCGGGTCACACGCCGCGGGGCGCCGGGGCTCCGGGAGCGGGGCGCCCCTCCGGCGCGTTTTGGGGCGCGGTTCTCTCAGGGGCGGCGGAGGCCGCGGCCGGGGCGCCGAGGGCACGGACGGAAGCCGCGCGGGCTCCGCGCCGCCGGGCCGCCCGCTACTCACCCCGACGCCGGCGGCGCAGGATGGCGGCCTTCTGGGCCGGGGCTGGGGCATCCTCCCTGCCGCCACCGCCCGGTGCGAGCCGCCGGGGCCGCCGCGGAGGAGGCGGCCCGCGAGGAAACGCAGCTGCCGCGCGCGCGGTGGCGGCCGCCGCCTCCGCCCGAGCGCGCGCCCGCGGGACACGTGACGGCGCCCGCCCCGCGCGCCGCGGTGACGTCAGCGCCCGCGACCCCCGACCGCTCGGAACCGGCTCCCGCGGCGACGTCACCGCCCGCGCCCCCGACCGCTCGGGACCGGCTCCCGCGGCGACGTCACCGCCCGCGCCCCCGACCGCTCGGGACCGGCTCCCGCGGCGACGTCACCGCCCGCGCCCCGGACCGCTCGGAACCGGCTGCCGCGGCGACGTCACCGCCCGCGCCCCGGACCGCTCGGAACCGCCTTCGCGTCGCTGGGGTCGGGCCGGCGGGGTTTTGCCCCTTTAAAAAGGCCGCGTGAACGTCAGAGCGCCGCGAGCATGTCCGCAGGTGGCGGCCTCGCCTGGGGTACAGGAAACGCGGCCACGACGTCGAAGCGCGGCCGTGCCCCCTGCGGACAAGCGGGGCCCGACCTCCTGGTCCGTGAGCGCGAGTGTGGCCGCCTGCGAGCAGCCGCCGCCGCCGGCCCGGTCGGGGCCCGGGGCCTGCCAGGCGCGCGGACGCTCAGCTCCCAGCCAGGCCCGCTCGGCGACCCGGCCCCGCGCTGCCGGCCCGCCCCGCCGCCGTCCAAATCGAACTGTGGAACCCGCCTGCCGGGGCACTGGCTGCACCAGCGATCTCCTCCGACAGCTGAGAATGTCAGATATTTAAGTTTTTGCCGGTCAGAAGGGTATGAAATGGCTCTTTGTTTCTCGCTGCTGTTTTAAATGGGTTCCTGCTATTCCGCCAAATTAATGTGCAGTGGTACAATTTAGCAGCTGAAGTCTTAGGTTGGCTCCGTTGTTGTTGGCTTTTTTAGGGTTCTGGAGAATAGCATTGAAATGCTCCTACCAGTGGCTTTAGGAGTAAACCTGGGTCTTTTGTCGGATTAGCGTAGCGGTGTTGGTTTGTCCCTAGATGTAGTTAAGAGATGCAATGCAGGATGGCATCAAATTTGAATTGAGATAAAGAATTACTAAAATATTATTTATCCAAAATTCAAATTCAACCAGGCATCCTGTATTTTTACTAAATCTGGCAACCCTAACCCCAGATAAAGTCTGACCTTTGTTTTCTTGTCTGTGAAATAGGGATACCAATAGGACTTGTCTCAAAGTTGTGAGGTGAAATGAGAGAATGCATGCAGAGTACTTAGCACCCAGCATGAAACATAATGAAAGCCCATTGAGGGTAAGTGCTTATCATTTCATGCAGCTGTGTCTTAGCGTTACAGGGCAGGGAGAGGGCACCCCAGAACCCCCAAACCTGCCTGCTCTAAATAGGTTCTGCCATCCGCCAAATCAAGACAAAACATAGAAGACCTTTAATGGAAAGGAACTTTAATACAATTAAAGGAACAATACAGAAAAGACAAAGAATATAGTTTCTAAATCAAGCACCCAAAGTTACCAGTCCCCTCGTGGCTAAAAGTCCACCCAAGCAGGATTGGCCTAGAGCAAGGCCTGAAAGCCTGCCACAGTCTAAAGCACCTTCAGGCAGGGACCCACAGAAAAGGATCAGAAACAACCAGACAAGTCTGGGAGAAAAAGAACAAAATCAAGATAAAATCTGCCATTGTTATCCTCCCCACGGGTCTCTCACCCACATCTGTTTCAACCAGTCCAGGACCAAGAAGCAAGCGCAGCTTCTTCATGTGTCTCTCTCTGCTCCATGTGCCTCCTTCAGATCTCCTCCTGGCTCTCCATCCTGCTTCCTTCCCTCTCCAGCCCCCTCTCCAGCTGCTTCTCTTCTCTCTGCTCAGCTCCACCCTCCTTTGTGTGGGACAGGGAACTTGGAACTTCTCCTTTTCCTGGGACCAACCTGTTACATTAGGACTAATTTCTGGAAACATGCTTTAGGGCTTCATTTTAGGCTTGCCTGAGCATTTTCTCATACTGATGGAATCTTAGAAAAATTTAGGATGGAATGTCTCACAAGGACAAATACCTTGGGCTAGGTACGATTGATAAATCTTATTTTTTTTAATTTATTTATTTTTAAAGATTTATTCATTCATTTATTTATAGAAGCACTGGGTACAGTCAGAAGTGCAGGAGGTTGAGAGAATTCACCAGAGCCAGAGCAGGGAGCAGAACAGGCAGAAGGACCGCAGTACACTGCTAAGGGGAGCAGTGGGCACGTCAGGAGAGGTCTGCACGTCATGTGGGACCCTCGCCGGTGGCAGGGGATCGAACATACCTAAACAATGAAGACCATATATAACAATCTATAACTAACATCATACTAAATGGAATAAAAAACTGAAAGCTTTTTCTCCAAGATCGGGTACAAGAAAAGGATGTTCACTTTCATTACTACTATTCAACATAGTGTTAGGAGTCCTGACTAGAACAGTTAGGCAAGAGAAATATATATAAGGTGTCCAAACAGGGAAAGAGGTTAGACTGGAATGATTTTCAGATAACAGGATAATATACACAGAAAATCCTGAAGATGCCACCAAAAATCTATTTGAAACAATCAGCACAGTGAAGTGGCAGGCTACAAAACCAATATGCAAAAATCTCTTGTGTTTCTGTATACAACAAACTAAATGAGAAAAATCAAGAAAATAATTCCATTTACAATCACATCAAAAAATTAAATACCTAGGAATAAACTTACAAAGGGAGGGGAAAGACCTGTACAATGCAAGCTGCAAGACATTATTAAAAGAAATAGAAGACATAAAGAAATGGAAAGATATTCCTTGCTCATGTATTGGAAGAATAAGCATTATGAAAATGACCATCTTCCCCGAAGCAATATAAGATTCAATGCAATCCCTTTCAAAGTTTCAAAAGCAAACATTACTGAAATTTAAATGGAACCACAAAAGATCCTGAATAGCCAAAGCAATCCTGACAAGAAAGAACAGGTATCACACTCCCAGACTTCAAGCTGTACTATAAAGCTTTTGAAATCAAAACAATATGTTGTTGGCATAAAAATAGAAACACCAACCAACAAAATAGAATTGAGATCCCAGAAATAAACCCAGACTTGAATGGACAGTTAATTTATAACACAGCGGCCAAGAGTATACAATCAATGTCTCCAAATGATTTTGGGAAGACAACAACTATATGCAAAAAAAAGAAGCAGCTAAACCGCTTTCTCACACCATACCCAAAAACTGACTCAAAATGCATTAAAGACGTGGATATAAGACCTAAGCCACAAAATACATAGAAAACATAGGCAAAACACTCTACAATACTGATTTCAGAGATGCCTTTGGAGACTCCAACAGCACGGGAGACAAAAGCAAACAAACAAATGGGATATAAGCTAAAAAGATTTTGCACAGTGAGAGAAACTCTCCGTGAAATGAAAAGACACCCTGCAAGATAAAATATTTGTATGTCATACATCTAACAAGGAGCTAATATACAAGATCTACAAAAAACTCATACAACTCAACAAAAAGAAAATATCCTAACTTAAAAATCAGAAGAGCTGACAGACACTTCTCCAAAGAATACATATAAATGGCCAATAAGCACATGAAGAATGCTCTTCACTTGCCATCAGGGAAATGCAAATCAAAACCACAGTGAGAATGGCCCAGATTAAAAAGACCAGAAACAAGTGTTGGCGAGGGTGTGGAAAAAAATGAAACTTCTTACACTGTTGATGGGAATGTAAATTGATCTAACCCTATGGAAAATAGTAAGGAGGTTTCTCAAAATATTAAAAATAGATCCATAAGATCCAGCAATTCCACTCCTAGTTATCTGCTCAAAGTACAAAAACATTTCTTAAAGATGTATCTGTACTCTCTGTTCACTGTAACACTATTTACAATAGCCTAGTTGCGGAAATTACCTAAGTGCCCAATGACAGATGAGGGGCTTTAAGAAGATGCGGCACATGTATGCAGTGGAATACTCAGCTGTAGAAAAAAATGAAATCTTGCCATTTGTGACAACATGGATGTAAGTGGAGGGATGATGCTAAGCAAAATAAATGAGACGGCGGCAGATAACGCATGCTTTCATTCATGGGGTTAAAGAAACAGACCAAACCAAACCAAAACCCTAGAAATCCAGCTGTAGAATGGAGGCTACCAAAAGGGTGGCAGGACAGTCAGGGATGGGGGAGCAGAGATGGGGGAGTCAGCAAACCCCCAAGAGTAGATCAGTGTCCCAAGACTCAGAGAGTTTGGCAAACAGTTGGACACAATACTTTACCTTAGTCGTTAGCTAGCGCCGTCACTGTGTGGAACATTAACGTTTTTAATGTTCCAGGTCTTGGCACCCCAGTAGTTTAGTGGCAGTTGAGCAAAGCATTCAGAGCTGTCACTAAAGGAGGAAAGAAAAGGCACTCTGCAGACCACTGTCGTCATGGTGTTGCTTTTTTTATTGCATCTCACGATGTTCCAAACTTGTGCTCTTCTCTATGTGAAGCAGTAGAGAACTTTCCAGCCTTTTATTATGAAAACAGTGTTTCTTTTCTCAGGTGATTATAGAGGTCTCCAGTTCTGGGTAGACAGTATCCAAATACCACTGAAATGATTTGCAACCCAGTCGTTTCCTTAATTCCACACGCTCGCTGATGTTTCCATAGTCGGCCTCTTTTAGGTGAGGTTTCCGTCTGAAAAACTGCTCCTACGTGGAGATTTAAGAGTCAGTCCCCTGAATGAACACTTGTTTGGAGATCAAACCCTGTCGAACATAGCAGTACATATTTTCACCACCTGAACTAAACCCCCTTCCAATCTCATCAGCATGGGGGTGCAGAAGCACACATAAGACCGGGGCAGACTCAGCCCGCGTGTGCGCAGCGTGAGGCGGGAGAGGCTGCGGCCCAGGTGGCACTGAGGGTCCAGGCTGGGTCTGGGAGCACGGGAATCACAGCCACCTGCTCTGCCTCACATCCTGTCCCTTCTCTCTCAAGGACGCTTTAGCGCAAAGCCCTCACTCCCTCAATCAACAGTCTCTCAGTCAGCAGTCTTATCATTCCAGAGATGGGAGGGGATGGTGGGTCAGGGCAGATGGGCTCTGGTGGAAGAGAGTCTGGGTTCAAATTCTGCTTTTCCATTTATTAACCTGTGACCTCGGCTTCTGCCCTCATGAGGTGGTCGTGCGACTTTAGTACCTGCCAAGCCCTTGGGAGAAGAAGGCTGCCACCTGAGAAGTTATTTTCATACACCTGGCTAGTCTTTGATGACCTCTGATTTAAGGAAACCCCAAGAAGTACTGTCTAATGGACTCAGCCTGTGGCATATGAAAGAGGTATTCTCAGTAAGCCAAAGTCACGAGTACTGTTCCCAGTCCTCGACTTGGAGAGTGGGCGTATTGTTGAATGAGAGGGGTTTGCTTATCCCAGTGAGCAGACACTGGGCACACCACATGGGCTGCTCCCCAGGGATCCTCGGCCTCTGTAGGTTTTTGCCAGTAATTCCTGCCACTTTTATTTCCCTTCCCAGGGTCTCTTGGTGCAGAGGATGGGCCTGAGGGTATAGAGGATCATCATTCTGTAATGAGGCGAGCAGCCCTCTCGTCCAACGTCGCTAAATAAATTTCCCAATATGCTGTGTCATCCAATTCATTGATTTCTTTCTTTCTTTCTTTTTTTCTGCCAAACACTATAGGCTTTTTAAGTTAGATGAAAATTTTGGTCACTATATCTTCTGTGAAATGAAGTAAACCTCTCAGAATTAGCTGTTCAAATAATTCATAATTAAATGCAATTTTAAACAATCACATCAGATTAGAAGAACTATAAAGTCTAATTAAAACCAGTTGTAAAGTTGCAGGGAGACAGGCATCTTCACATAACACATGACAACGGTGCAGGAGGCGGTGTGGATGGGGCAGGACAGCTTGGAGATAATTCCTGGGATTCAAAATGCACCAGCTCATGGTGCAGCAAGTCCATATCTTGAGATTTGTTCTACAGATATATTTGCACAAATGCACAAAAAGTTAGGTGTAAAGGATGTTCGTGTCAGAATTGTCAATAAGGTCCAAATGGGACCAATTTTAGTAGATACACTCAAATTTCCCACTTTCCTTGAGTTGCCAAGCAGTTTTCCAAAGGGACATTTGTAATATTTAACACTCTCACCAGTGATGTCTGAGAATTTCTGTTGCTTGGCAACACATGGTCCTATCAGACATTAAAAATGCTCGCCAGTCTAGGTGGCTATGTAGAAATACCTCATTGAGGTTTCAGCTCTCATGGACCTGATGACTAGGGAACTTGAGTGTTATTATTTTATGCTTTGAAAATAATAAAAACTAGATCAAGGCTAGGACACAATATCGCAGAGAGATTCTTGCCCGATTCTATCAGATATATTCGTGAATGGTCACAGAGTTAATCCTGCACATTCATGTTTCTGAAGTGAGGTCTTACCACAGTCACTGTCCACGTGGGACAGTTCGTGCGTGCATTCTAGATGGGCTACTTCCAAGTAAACTACGTGCTCTCTGGGTGTCTCGGACCCTTTCAAGAACTGGCAAGGGGCTTAAACCTTGGGGAGATGCAGAATGAAGGTGCATGGCTTTGACGGAGAAATGCTTGGTCATGGGTAGAAAACAAGTGGCAGAGCTTCTTGTGTGTTCCCCACACCCGCAGCAGCCACATCACCTGGGGGCTTGGCAGTCGAGGAAGAGAACTAGTGAGTGGCAGGTACGGCTCGGGGCGGGGGTCCGGCTCAGAGGGACAGCCTTCAAAGGGAAAACAGATGGGGGGCGGGGCAGGAAGGACTTCTTGTGTTGGTTGAGATACTTCTCAGCTTGATTTTCTCTGGGAATTACAAAGTAAGGTGCGTAGCAGCTTAGAACTAACTGAGGACAGGGTCTGGGGAAAGGCAGATGAGTAGGTAAAGGGATGCCACTAAGTTAAGGGAAACGCTGAAAGGAACGAAAATTGGTATCTGGAAAGGCAGGTGGAGGCTTCTTTAGAGCAAACCCACTTCTACACTTGAACTCATCTCCCCAAATCAGAGGCGTATCCTTCACCTTGTATTCATCCAACCAGACGTGCGCCAGCCTGAGGCTGTTGCGGTTTATGGCCTGTGTGATGTCAGGGGAGTACGACTTGGGGTGCTTGTCAATGTGGCCCACTCGCGAGCAGGGCAGTATGTAGAGCTGACCCCCACACATCCAGATCTGTGGAGAAAGGAAAACAGTAATGATCTTTGCTAGTAATAGGTCACTCTGAGATCGTTTTTGACCAATAATAGCTAACCGTCATTGTTTCTTATCTCATTGAATCTGGCTACCCATTCACAAGGTAAAGGAGCCTGGGCTAGCTTGCTGAGGACGAGAGACAGGTGGCCAAGTCCTCCCTGCTCTCCCAACTGCCGCAGGCCCATGTGGGCAGGTAAATCAGTCCAGCCTAGACCAGCACCAGCTGAGTCTCCAGAGGAAAACATGTGTAAGCAACACAATAAAACCAGCCATCCTAGCCAGGCCAGAGACTCGCTTTAGCAACACAGCGAGTTAGGAGGACGTTTGATCAGGAGCCACTGTGTTCCGGGAGAGCTTGTTACACAACCTACCAGATATGCGAGGGGCCAGTGTTTCTCAAGTAAACAAGACCTCTGTCCTCGCAGCTGCTCCGTGCAGGAACTCAGTGTGATAGGCTGAGGTGCTGATCATCAAATATTAGCTCACCCCATCCCTCACCTTGGGGCAGAGTCTATTTCTTTGACACTCTGACTTGGGACTTGTCCATTCAGCGTCTTTGGATGATGGAATGTGGGCAGCACATGTGTGACAGGATTCTCGGCCACAGGGCTGGGCCTGACACCGCGCTCTTGCCGTCCAGACTATGCTGAGCTGCGGCAACTCCTGGGATGACGAGCAAACTTGGAGACCAGAGCTCAGCCTAGCCGATCAGACCCAACGCACAGGCCTCCTCCAGGCCACACCTACTGTTCCGAGCTACTCTGCTTTGAGCTGCAGACAGCATCTGTGTGGCATTCACTGCCTGGCCCCCATGTGGCCTGGAACACCCCTTAGTCTCAGGATCCACCATTCTGACCGGCCTTCGTTGTGCTTGTGTACCACGATGGGGATTTGTCCAGCTCTCTCCATCCGCCCTGGCCCCTGCCTAGTTTCATCTGCTGTCATCCCTTGTCCAGGTCATTGCAAGAAACTCCGCTCTCCCTGCTTGTCTTTCACTTTGTTAATTTCTGCAGCCTCTGTGTCTGCCCCACTTAAGGCACGTCTGTGCGTCCCCTGGCACCTAACGTACAATCTGAACCCTCCGGGGCCTGCTCGTTTCTGCCCCGCCTCCCGCCTGCCTTGCTCTGCCACCCTCTCCTCACCCACCGGGGTCCGGCCTCCCTGGCCCGCTCACCGCGGAGGTCAGTGTGCGGAAGCGGCGGCCTCTCCCACTCTTTTCCTGTGGTCTGTATTTACCAGGTGAAGTGGGGCTACGTCCCGTGGCCAGCTGGGGTGGGATTTTCTCAGTCTGCTCTACTGGTCTAACAGTTGTTTGTTGTTTTTTCCAAAACCAAACCAATCGTTTTATTGTGCAGTTTCCTTCAACCAGACAATTACTTAAACGTCAATATAAAATAATCTCTGGAAAATAGTCTGTTTTCTTCTTCCTCCCCTGAACTGGGGCGAATAGCTTTGCCCTTCCCAAGCCGGTGGGTTCCACGACGCCTGTCTTGCATCACCCGCGCTTACGACACGGACGCGCTTCTCTCAGGGACGTGCCCTCTCCGGCCGGGTTCTGGCAGCTCACCAGTGATCTATCAGGGTAATCTGCTCAATACAGAGACAGTGGGATTGGGGGGTAGCAGTTATCAGGGGGAGAAAAGACTGGGGCCCCAAACAAGACAGGTCCTTACGAGGACAAGGTCACCCCAAGGCCAGGCTTCCGCAGAAGCTGGGCTGGGACAAGGGCCCTGTGGGGTGGGGCTCTCTGCAGTCACGGGCAGGTCGGGCTGCTGAGCTGGACACAGGAAATGGTGCCCTGCGGACAGAGACTTGGGCTGAGGCTCTCAGCAGGATTAGACGTCCTTGTCCTCATTTGGGTGGCACTTAGACCCCAGCGCCAGGCAACATCTGCAGCATCTGTGCAGGGTAGGTAAAGGCATCAGGCTTTCCTGCCCTCCCGCCATCAGGATGGATGATGGATCCTTGCGGTCCTGAACGCATGCCTGATGGCGGCACCTGGAGCAGGGTGTGGGCCTAGGGAGATGGGATTCCCCTGGGCTGAGACTGGGCTTTTAAGGGCGGCGTCACGGGGACGCCGCCAGAAGCCAAAAAAGAAGCTGAGAAGAAGCAGAACGAACGGAAGAGCAGAGAAGCAAAGAGAAGGCCGGAGAGCCCAGATAGAGTGAAGACTTGCTGGGGGCTGGGGGGACTGCCAGCCTCCTGGCCCCCAGCACCCCTGGCTGCCGTGTGCCTGGTAATCTAAATAAAAAGCCTGCAAAACCCACCGGGGGCTCCAGGACTGTCTCCTCCTTTACCCCGTCTGCTGGGATCCCAGAAAACCTGCACTTTGGTCTTCCTGCCCCTACAATTGGCGTAAGTCGGCAGGATGATCCATGCAGACGGGCATGGAGCCCTCCGAAGACCTGGAGGGACTGAGGAGTAACAGACTGTGTTTGCCTGTGACGACGCTGGAGGCGCCATGGCGGCACAGGAGATGGACAAGGCCCAGGAGCTGCGGGACGAGACCTCGCGTGGAGGAGACGCCCGAGAGGACCAGCCAACGACCCCCGAGGCGGCAAGAATCTTCAGAGAAGAGAGGACCACGGTTTGGAGCTCGCCAGTGCTGACGCAGGGAGAGGCCTAAAGGACTTGGACTGACGAACTTGGACTGACAATCCCGCCAGAAGGCAGAGGAACCTTGGCAGGTTAAGTTTTGGGGACCCTGGGGGAGGATGCTATTGTTTGTGCACCCCAGGAGATGGGAATCTGGGGTGGCCAGTGGGCCTTGATGGCCAAAAGCAGCCTGTGTATGCCCAGCAGCCAGGCGGAGGAGAAAAGCCAAGTGAGAAGGCAAAAGCTGGAGCTGATGCTGAGTTTGGGAAGCCTGAGCGGCTGTTAAGCACTAAATAAGCTGAGGAAGGCCCGTGAGTCTCGTAAAATCACCTGTGGGGGATGCTCTGCTCGATGTCGAGGGAGGGTGAGGAGCTGAGGAACCCTTCCTTGGGGGACGGGTGGGGAACGTGGCTTGGGGTGGAGCCCCAGCCAAATGTAGAGTTTGGATCCCCGACCCATGTGCTTGTGCAGTGGGTTGGCCTGAGTGCAGGGGCCTGCGAGTCGCATGGGTGGCTATGAAAGCCGAGTGTTGGAGCGACTGCAGACAGAAACCCTGAGGGTTGGCGATTACCCCCAAAGAGTAGAGAATCCTCAATCCAGGAGTGAGTGCATCCTGGGGGTGGATGCTGCGTGTGGCTTGTAGCCGAGACTACAGCCAGAGAAGGCCGGGAAGCCTGACGGCTCCTGGCATGTGACAGAGATGTCTGAGTGGTTCCCCTCCCTCGTATGAGCAGTGCCTTGGGCAGCAGATGTGGTGGCTCATCTGCCAGTACCAATAATTGTCTTTTGCCACTAGGTTGGGGCCCTGCCTGGACTTATTTGTGTTCTGTTGTATTTTGTTACATTGTGATGTATTTCATTTACTTTCGTGGGCCATGGCTGCGGTGTTCATATTGCCAAGAGACATGTGTTTATGACTTGTATATAGAGACTGATAAAGACGATATGGCAGAAAACCCTGAGGGGGTGGACTGTAGGGTAAGGAAAAATGTCAGGCTTTCTGCCCTCCCGCCATCAGGATGGATGATGGATCCTTGTCCTGAACGCATGCCTGATGGCGGCACCTGGAATAGGGTGTGGGCCTAGGGAGATGGGATTCACCTGGGCTGAGACTGGGCTTTTAAGGGCGGCGTCACGGGGACACCAGTAGAGGCCGAAAAAGAAGCTGAGAAGAAGCAGAATGAACGGAAGAGCAGAGAAGCAAAGAGACGGCCGGAGAGCCCAGATAGAGTGAGGATGTGCTGGGGGCTGGGGGGACTGCCAGCCTCCTGGCCCCCAGCGCCCCTGCCTGCCGTGTGCCTGGTAAATCTAAAAAGCCTGCAAAACCCACCAAGGACGCTCTAGGACTCCTCCTTTACCTGGCCTGCTGGATCAGAAAACCTGCCCTGTGTCCTTCCTGCCCCTTACAGGGGCGTTACAATCTGGGACCAGATTTCAACCTCAGGAGTCCTCCTGCCCCCCACCCCTGAGGTAGCAGCCCACCCCCGCTGCAGAGATAGCTAGAGACCACAGAGGGGGCCCACGGCTCCTCATTCACTATCAGACACAGCCACGGAGGTCTGGGTCACCCTGGTAACCCCCCCAGGGAGATGCGGCCAGATCCCTTTGCTGGTTGTCAGTCTGAGGCAGGTCTGCGTGGGGGCTGGGTGCGGAGTGCAGAGCAGGGTCGTGAGCCGGCCCAGGCCTGCCGCAGCTGCGTCTCTGTCTACGGCATGAGCGGCCCGCGGGCAGGGCAGGTTGGGTGCTCTGCAAATCTGCCATCAGAGAAACAAGCTGGGCTTCGCGCTCAGGAAGCCCCCGCGATACCAGGCTCCTCCCAGCTTGGGCCTTGTGGGGAAGAAAGGCAAGGTTCGCAGCAGGCCTTGCTTTTAGGCTGATGAACCAGGAGAGGAGAAAGGGGGGACGGCAGGGCTGCAGAAGCAAGAGAGCCTGGTGACCCCTGCCACCTGGTCCCGCGGAGGTGGCACGGAAAAGCTCCCCCGCGGCCCGCGGCTGTTGGAGGCAGCAGAGGTGGTGGGCAGGGCCCCAGAGGCCCCAGGCCTACAGCTCAGGTAGGAAGGGCTCTCCTCGAGACAGGGCCGTCACAGCTGGCAGGGGGGTCGGGAGGGGAGCACACTGGGGCAATGAGATCGGCGTGTCCCAGGTACAAGCTGGCCGGCAGTTGTGAGGTCCAGTGGGGTCCCATCTTTTCCAGCCCCAGTAGCTATCTTAGCAGAAAACTAGGGGAGGCTGCTTGCCAGACACCGTCCTCCACCAGAGCTCAGAGGAAGGGGGCGAACACCTCACTGAGGCCGCGGCAGCCCCGGCGCTGTGCTATGCCCATTACGGCGGCGATAGTCACGCCAACGCGGCCGGTGCCAGCCTCCCCCTCAGGTACCCGACCCCAAGCTTCACCCACTCCACAAAGATTTCGTGACTGGGTTCCACATGGGACAAGGCCAGGCGTGGGGGAGACAGTGTGGGATGTCAGTCCTGTCCCTGCCCTTGCGGAGCTGGTAGCAGGGGGATGCACAGTGGGTGGGGGACGCAAAAGCCAGTCTCTGCCTCAAATCTATTTAAAATCAAGATGGCAACAGCAGAGCATTGAAACAAGGGTAGGGGCCAGCCCGGGCCATGTAGCCTGCCCTGCACACACAGACAAGAGACACGGCTCACCGGGCCAACACTCACAGGAGAAGGGACCTCAGGCGTGTGCGCACGCTCGCGTGTATGTGCATGTGTGGGAGGGGGGTTGTGGGTGTGTGCAGGGAGCGTGAGGATGAGGTCCAGAGAGTCTTGCTGAAGAAATGGCATCAAATCTGTCATGATGGACTGTGGTAGTGAGGAAAGAGGGACGTGAAAGAGACGGTGATGATTCAGCAGAACTGACCAGATAGGGTGAGGTGAACTGGAGGGCGTGAGAAGGACAGTGGAGTCCAGGGGCAGGGGTGGCGGGGGGGGGGCACTCACCCACCCATAGAGGGGGCATGGCTGAGGGAGGAGTGGGGGAGGGGGCAGGGAGGAAAGAGTCGGCTTTTGCATGTCCGGCTTAGCGCGCTGTGGTGCATTCAGATGAGGGCAAACTGTCCATGGATGGACACAAAGGCTGTGACTCAGGAGAAGGAACAGCGGAGGAACAAAAGCAAGAACTGGCGTAGCATGTAAAGCAGTTAGCGCAGTGTGGGGTGGGTAGAGAGAGGGGGGAGAGTTTGGGGGCCTCGGGGAAGCCCCTTAGGAAAGTAAACTTCTGAGCAGACAGGCCAAGAAAGCGAGCCAGTGTTTGAATGCAACACACTGGGGTCAAAACAAAACATGCAGTAAGAAGAGCTGATATTTTATTGAGTATTTTCCATCTTCGCAAGGAGCCGCGTCAATCGTGTGGCGCATATACCACCAGGAATGTGCTAGATGCTGACGTAGGAAAAACGAGCACAAGAGCCACAGCAGGAAGCATGGCTTAAAGCTAGAGTTCACGCTCCACCCGCAAAGGCAACTACTTTGAAAAGGTTGACTTACCCTTAGTGAAAGCTCCACGTTTTCCCCTCCCCAGAGGTTCATGTCTTTGTCGTACTGTCCGAGCTCCTTAAAGTAATGCCTGTACACAGCAAAAATGCCTCCAGCCATGGCGGGAGACCTAAGAGGACATGGAAATACCAACTTGATTTCATGGGTTCAGTCATGATGGATGCTTGCCAAAATTATATTAAAAACGAGTGATATGGATAGTTAAAAACTGAAAAACCGTCATTCACACCAAATTATTACCTATCCAACTTTTAAGTATGTGGAATTGCTAAATTAAAACCGTAGTTACTTAAAACCAGGCAGTAACTCTTGCCTAATGGCACCAGATGCCGTAAGCAATACACTCTAAGTGCTGCCTTGGAGGAAAGGAAAATTGTCTTAAAAAAGAAAAAAGTTTCTTAGCAAATTTAATGTTTTTTTAAAAAGATGTATTTATTCATGCACACAAGAACTGGGGTACAGGCCAGAGGTGTGGAGGGTGAGAGGATCCACCAGAGACAGAGTCTGCTGCCCGGCGCGGCGCCGGCTGCGGGCTGGGGCGACCCCACGGACCTGGCCATGGTCACGCGGCCCTCGCCTGGAGGGAGGCCGCGCCCCGCAGGGCCTCCCGGGCCCGCCGCCCCCCCCCCACCCCCGGCCGCTTGTCAAATTGACAAATGAAGTAATTTCACAAAACAGCCTGCGAAGGCCGCGGTGGGCATCGCTGAAAGTCGGGTGACAATATATATGACTCAGAATTCAGGCCACGCCTTCCCCGCAAGAGAAAGGCTTTATTCTAAAACCCCGGGAATCACTAGCAAGCATGCATGCGTGCGCGCGCGCGGTGTGTTGTGTGTGTGTGTGTGTGTGTGTGTGTGTAAGGCCGGGTGGCGGTGGTCACCTCGGCGGTGGTCTGAGCCTGCGGGGAGGCCGTGAAGAGGTGCGGGAGCAGCCAGGCTGAGCCCCCTGGCAGTGGCGATCCCTGCGGCCTCTCCACGAGTTACCACAGCTGTGTTTTCCTCACTTGCCCTAAGTTTTCCAAAACTCTTATATCTGTACTTTTATGGTCATTACACTTGTAACTTGAGGGGGGAAGGAATCGTCAGATATGAATACAAGTTAATGGCATGGCTAATATCTAAATTTTAGCTTTTGTTAACCCTCTGAAGACAACCTATCTGGTCTTGCAGGTGCTGTTCCACCTTGTAACTGTGACATGTTAGGCTATAACGCAGCTGCCCCTCCGGGTTCAGGGCTGGAGATTTGTGTAATTCTGCCTACAGTGGAGGTGACCATTGACAGTACTGGCAGGAGGGGCAAATTTATAGATCATGAAGCCGAGGCTCAGAAAAAAGAAAACCATGTAGGGTACCAGCAGAAATTGAGGAGCTGGAGACTTGATTATGTCCCAGGGTAGGTGGGTGATGCCAGTTTAGAAGATGAAAGGTCCAAGAAATGACTACAGGAATCATAGTAACAGTTATAAAATGACGTTAATGTAGCGCTGGTGGACAGTGTTGTAATCTTGGAAATATACTAAGCTGTTCATGCTCATGACAACTCTGTGAAGTATTGTTATTCTCCAGACTTTACAGATAAAAAAATAAGCCCCAGAGAGGTCAAGCAATTTGAGCAACGTCACATAGCTCTGGCAAAATTAGGATGGAGACAAGATCAAAGACTTGCTAGGCTAACATGCTGGCAGAGGCACTCGTGTGGTTGGTGAACAGAGGTCAACAGAGAAAGAAAAGAGCCCTGGGGTCCCGGCTAACTGAATGTGGGGAGCAACCTGGGAAAGTCTCTCCAGAGACAGCCTCCTACAAATCCCAACATTCAAGCCATTCCTACAGTTTGAGATACATTTTCTGGACTAATAATCTTGGAAACCACTTTTATCTCAGCCTGTAAAATTACAGATGGAAGCACTTGCGTAGACATTTCATACATGAGTCTGGCCATGGCCAGGCCTTCTGGGCTACGTACGTGCTGGCACCTCATGCACTGATCAACACACAGCTTGCCCTTGAGGGCAAAGTCCACATGCTGCCAGCAGCCACCTGGAGTCAGAGGGCCACTGACACGGTCATGCTCGCAACCGGGTGACATGCTCATTTTCAAGCGACAAAACCGCAGGCCTCCCCAATTCTATTATAATAGGCACTTAGGACCAAGAGACATATAAAGCACTCCTTCTCATTCAGCCCTAGCAATCGAAGGAATCATCTCCCTAATTTTTCTGCCAGGTCCCAATCCCAGACACTACGTGCCATGGCGGAAGACATCTCACCGGATGGGAGCGGTAGGTCCTTCAGGCCCGTCCATCTCATAAGCGAAGACGTTATCCCACTTGAATTGGAGGTACCAGTTGAAAGCTCCCCTGACGACGGGAGAGGGCCTGTACTCCAGGGTGGTAAAGTCAATGACGTCAATCAAAGGGCACACCACCATCTTGGGTCCTTGGCGATGGCATACAGCAGGGGCTGCAGCCAGACTCTGTTCACCTCACAGTGGCTGTCCAGGAACACCAGGACGTCCCCTGGGGAGGCAAGGGCGGGCGTTAGTTCGCTGGCTGACACGCCTGCCACCCCAAACCAAGGCTCGACGCGATGAGTCTTTGTTAAACACTTAGTGTGTGTTTGGTCCTCAGGGTGCTTTCAGTTTCACCGGGTGGATGGTGGGAGGGAAACCAGCACACACTTAATTCTGCACCCAAAATGTGGGTTGTGCTCCCGGCACAAACGTCTCTCTCCTCAGATCTTGCCACCCGCCGAGCGCTCTCCCCTTCCCACCTTTGTGCCACCCCTGCTTCCAGTTCTCCCCGGTGGACTTTGCCCCTGGCGTCCGTCGGCTCTGGGGCCAGCGCCTCTGTCCCCGCGCCTGCATGTTAGGGGCATCTCATAGCCACACAGGCACCTTGGCAGTGGCAGTAAACGTCATGGAGAGAGTCCAGACTCAGATGACAGGAGGGGTGCAGCGCACTCCCTTATGTCTGGAGGCTTCTAAGGGCGTCTCTGATAAAGTGACGTTTATGGTGACATTTGATCAGAGAACGGAGCCACGCGGGTGACAGGCGACGCAGGCCCGCCAGGAGGGGAGCTTGCTTCTGAGCGCCACGGCGGGAGAGTGCCTGAGATGGCCAGGGCCAGGCAGCGGGCTGCGTGGCGCCGCAAAGGCAGGGGTCTTTGGGCAAAAGCTCAGTGGGTTTGTTGGGTTTTGGGGGGTTTTTTGAGTAATAGTGGAAAATAAAAATTGCCAATTGAGAAATGACTAAACAGATGATGTGCCCTACGAGCCACGGGAACACTGTACTCAGCAGCCACTAAACATGGAGGTGAATTGGGTCAAAGCATTGACATAAAGGGTCGGTCTCACCAGGCAGTGTAGATGGGGCGATTCCACATGTTTAAAAATCCCTCAGGTGTGTGTGTGTGCACAGTCACGCGTGTACACACGCATGCACGTGGCGGTATATAAAACAAAGAGGCGCACACCCAGCGGGTAGCAGCCCGTGTGGCGTTCCCGACAGTGAACACGCTCCACCTGCGTTAAACAGGAGCCTGTCACGTCTGCTCAGGCCAGCGCGGCAGCCTCGCAGGGCCGAAAACACGGACACCCTGTCTCTGCCAGGGGAGACGCAGGGGGTGCCCCGGAGGCATTTCGTGTGGGCAAGAAAGTCCCAGACCCAGACCTGGGGTCACGGCCCGCCTGGAATGTTCTTACCTAAAGCAAAAGATGCGCCGATCAGCCTGGAGCGGATCAGCCCTTCTCTCTTCTTGTTTCTTATCAGTTTAATCTTTCCCCGAAAAATTTCCAAGCGGTAGTCTAGCTTGTCTTTCAAGTCATCTGCAAAAATACCCAACACCTGACAGTCAGTGGTAACTACAGGAACAAAAATGGTGGCTCATGCGACTGATCCCTGACCACGCTAACCCGCGGGAGTTCTAGCCAGAAGAGAAAGACGTGTCCTGTATGCGGCAGGGAGAGAAGTGACTCAGCATCAAGACAAGCCGCTCGTCTGCGTCCCCCCGGGGCGGCTCTGTTCGCTCCAGCCCTGCGTGTGTCCTCATCGCAGGAGCCTTGGTGCCGTGGCAGTCTGACCCAGCGGCCCTGCGGTCTGCGCCCGAGGCTAGGTGGCTGACGGCTTTCAGACTTTAAAGGGCACAAAAGTAAAAACCGAAACTCATCTGACTTTGTCTGACGCTATATTCGCAGACCTAATGGCAATGACCTTGAACTGAGCTCCAGGGCCAGCTGGAAACTGAGAACACAGAGTAAAAAGGGGCTACCCAGAGGGGGCACCTTGAAACACTGAATCCTGGCCCTGGACGCCTGTTACAAACAAGTCTCTTCTCGTTGGCTTGGGAGGAGGGGAACCTGCACCTCGTGGGCTGCTCCGCGGGTCAGGAATCTGCCCATCTCTCCGCGTGCCCAGAACGAGCAGGGCAGCCCCGCACCCCTCTGATGGGGTGGCTCCCGGGGAAAGCGGCCTGGTGACTGGACACCCTCTGGAGCACCCAGATGTGGCTGGCAGGAGGCTGAGTCGCATCCCACCATGGGTGACACCCCTGGAGTCACCCCCCCCCCGGGGACCTCCTGGAGTGTCGCCCTTCCCTGGCTGTGAAGACCTTACACTAACCCGGTTCTCTGGCGTGCCTCAGGGCTGCAATTAGGTTGTAAAATAGACAATTTATTTCAAATGCTACGTGCGGCTCATCAGATTTGCACCAGTGTGCAAGTCCCTGCGAGCACCAGCGTGGAGGACAAACTCGGAGCTCCGCTGTCTACGATTCGAATGGAAAGGGGATGTGTAAAGGGGGACGGGGTCGCCCCTGCCTTCAGCTGGGTAACAGCTCCCCAGTTCCCCCAGATAAAATGCAAACCTTGCCCTTCACGTGGTCTTTTCCTATTTATTTCTTGTCTCCTCCCCCGGCCCCCCCAACTCAGACGTGAGCTATGTAAGATGCATTCAGCGCGGCTCCAGTCTTGCCAAGCTTCCTCTAGCCTCTGGGCCTTCGGGCGCTGTGTCTGCTGCTGAAAACAACTTTCCCTTCCTTCCCACCAAGGCAACTCTGACACCCGCATCAGACCCCAGTGACTGTCACTTCTTCCTGACGCCATCAGTGCTCTCGAGTGGGTCCCTTCATGTCCCCCGACACCGCCCCATAGGAACCAGCTCTGACCTCCCCACCAGGAGGTCACCTGGCTACACACACACACACACACACACACCCCGCCCCAGACGTCCTTTGCGGGAAGGGACTCCCTCCGGGCGGCTCCGCCTTCCAAGGACATGGCGCGCATCTTTGGGGCTGTCTTACCAGATTCGCTCATGTCGTCTATCAAGATAATCTCCTCGAGGAGCTGCAGCGGGGTGTGCGTCATGACGCTCGACACCGTCCTGAACAAGGCATTAAACTCTTCGTTGTGGAAGCAGATGATGACGCTGGCCGTGGGCAGGTGGGTTGGGTAACGCTTATAGTGACACCTGCAGGCGAGAACAAGAGGGAGGCGGTGAGTCACCTAAGCAGGTGTTGGGGGCGCGGCGAACATCTTTCATCATTTGCGTTTCCCCTTCCTGGTTCCTTGTGGGTTCTTATGAGCTGAGCTCGCATGGGCCGCTGTGACCTGTGTGCTGTCTGCAAGGCATAGCGGAGCACGCCTTGACCCCTCTGGAGAAAGCCCGCATCCCAGGGCAGGCGGGGCCCAGGCCGCTGCTCACGGGATCACCTCTCTCCAGGGTGGCCTCGGGGTAACCCTGCCGTGATAACATCAGGTACCTTGCTGACTCACGTCTCTTGACGTAGGGTGACAACATCCCTTTCTCTGTCCCTCATAAAACTGTCCCTTGCCCCCCAGACCTTACTCCTCACGGCGCTGCGGCACGGCCAGCTTTCACCTGCCCGTGCACTGTCACGAGCGGCACAAGAACATCCGCTCCAGTAGCAGAGTCTCGCCTTGCGCACCTGCTCCATGCGCGACCCGGGAGTCCCCCTCGCGTCCCCGCCGCGGAGCGGCCGCAAAGTTCCTGTCGCAACAGTTCCTCTCATTGATGATTTGATAATCGGGTGACAGTACATTTAAAAACACGAGAATGGAGCTATGAGCATTTCTTTCACTTCTGCTGCTCTTCTAATCTTTCACACTCGCTTTCTCCACGCCAGTCATCATTGCTGCTTCCGCAGACAGTTTTCACAATCCAAGTTCATTTTGAGCATCATATAAACAAATTACTTTGGCATCCATAAAAGTGATTTAATAAACTTATTCACATTGAAGGTTCAAATTTATTGTATTGTGTTGACCTCAAAGAAAGTCTGTGCTTCATTCCTACGTCGGTACCGTCTGCAGAGGATGAGATGTCCTTGTATTTCTTCCAAGGATTTGACAAAAATATTTTACTGTTTTTTTCCTTTTTAAAATGTTCTTTATTAAATTTGAAATACATAATTATTCAACCATGTTTTAACTACACCCCAAAGGAAGAGCGTATTACGGAATAGGATAGTGTTACCAAGGTCAGGAATGTAAGGGTGGCTCAGTGCAAGATATCAAGGAGGGACGTCGCGTGACCATGCTAATTCAGAGGTGAGAAATTGTTCGATAAAACTTAACAGTGATTTCTGATTAAAATAAATCCCAAATCAAGACGAACCGACTCCTCGTCGGCATAGCTTTGACTGGTTGATGCACACGAACCGGGTGGGATCGTGACCAGCAAAACATTCAAATAAGGCCACATCTGATGCATTAAAGGCAGAAGGAACAATTTCAGCAGCAATTTCGCTTTCCACCTTGTGCTTTTTTGTGTGCTCCCAACTTTCCAGAATGAACACTTAAAAGAAATCTGCATGTTTATTAATTACAAGAGGATAAACAGTAAGTTTAGAGCACAGAAATCTGACAGCTGCTGTTTCAATGAATGGTCAAAAGTAACTTCACCAGTAATGGAACAAATAGACAATGCACCTCCTCATTCGATGCTGAGAAGGACATGGCATCACTTCTATGACATTCCTACCCCCAAAACGCATGATTAGAATGTGATGGCAACCAGACACCCAACACGGCGGAACACGGCACGAATGAGTGGGTAGACGTCATCATGTGGGTCCTGGTTTTGATGAAAAAAGCTCAGAATCAGTTTCAGAGGGGAGGAAAAGGGACAGGTGCACCAGATGGTCCTGGGGCCCTGGGGTGGCCCCTCCCAGAACCAGGACCCCAAACGTGAATTCTCCCTAGACTCAGGAGTGGTGGCGTGTTCATACAGATTTCCTGATTTTGTTCATTGTTCTGTTCTGAGGGTATGGACGATGCTAACATTCAGGGAAATCTGAGAAAAGGCTATACTTCTTTGAACTATTCCTGCGCCAATTTTGTAAGTCTGAAAAAATTTTAAATAGAGAAGTGAAGAAATAAATCAGAGACAGAGCAACATAGTCTTCTCGTCAGAGATGTGTATCAGCATTTCTTTTTAAAAAAAGATTGATTTATGCAAATAAGATCTAGGATGCAGGCCAGAGGTGCGGGGTGTGAGAGGATTCATGCAAGACAGTGGGGAGCAAAACAGCCAGATCTACTGAAATACACTGCTGAGGGAGCAGCAGGGAGACTGGAGAGGTCCGCTGCACTGTGTGGGTCGCCTCCCTGGCTGGGGATCAAACTCGTGCTGCAGTTGCTGTGGATATAGCCTCACAGGGCTGACGCTCAATCCTTGCACCACCAGGGAGTCCCAGTATCAGCATTTCTTTAGTGAAGATGATCCTGTGCACGTCAAAGCCAAAGTTGAAGGGAAATGTACTCAGTGGAATAACGCAATTGGCTAATGATGGTTGAAATTCTGTTTGGACCCAGATAGTTGTGCTTATTCCTAGCAGCTAGAATGGGTTTCAAACACAGACATGTACTTGGAGTGGAATTGAATTTCCTATCAGATGAACTGACATCTCGAATAGCACCCTGCCAGTTTGCTCCGTTCTCAGGATCGTCTCTCTAAACTTTATTTTTCTTAACGAATAATCATGTAATGTGGGAAGGGAAACCAAGTAGCTGTGTTGTTGGAACCCAGCCGCCTGAGTGGTGGGAGCCGGCGGGTGCAGAGTTGGCCTTTCATGCTGCTGCTCCACCGCAAGTCAGCTGTGGCAGTTGCTCCTCAGACACCTTTCATGTAACAGTGTACTTCCCGGATCATGGAATGGGCCAATCAGGTGCAAGCTATGAGCTGGTTGGTGCTAAATGGTCCAGTCAGCCACAGGATTGAAAAATGGTCCAATCAGACTTGCGGGTGGGGCACCCTGAAAAAGGGTATAAGCCCTGGTTGAAGGCAGCTGAGTTGGCAACCGCCTCTGAAGGAAGAGGAAAGAAGGGAAGACACTGTTCTTGGCCTCTGAAGAAAGAGGAAAAGAAGCATCCAGCAGCTGACCTCCAAGGAGGGAAGAGAAGCCGAAGGACTCTGTCAGAGACAGGGCCTGAGAGGAGCACCAAGGGCCCCGGCCTGGCGTCTCAAAGAGCTGTTTGTTGCTGGTGTCACCCAGCAACTCACAAGGAGCTGTGAACACTGGGTGTCCCTGACACCACCTCTGGGGGACCAGTGGTGACCATCACTACTGGCCAGTGCTGTCCGGCACTCCTGGTGACCGGTGGTGACCATCACTGACACTATCTGGGTGAGGCAGCAGCCACTTGTGGCCACAGTGAACTCTCTGTTTCCCGTTTGTAAAATAAAGCCCGTGGTGGTGGTTCCTGGAGCCTGAGGGCTCTTGCAGTTGTGCGCGCGGGTGAGACCCAAAGACAGCGACCTGTCCTCTTATCGGGCACCGTCCTTTGCTAGGCTCTAGCCCGTAGGCTCCTGTTGTGTGGGTGCTGTCCTGCTCTAGCCCTTGGTTTTGGTTTTTGGCCTTTTGGGGCTTTTGGTGGCGCTCTGGTCTCAGAGCCGGGGCAGGTGGGCGGCCTCCATCCGGTCTCCTGCCTTGGTGCCCTTTTTTCCTGTCCACCTGTTTCAGATGTGTCATTTGAGAATGTGAGATTTAGGGGGGAAATGACAGCATGCAGAGAAATCCCTAATTTATAGGCCTCCAAAACGACATTTTGTGGTAGGTAAATAGTGAACTGCATAAAAAGTTGCTCTCCAAACTAAATTCACTCCCTATTCTATGGTTTGAGTGATTTAAATCCTTCCCCCCTTATTATGAGCCAGGTGGATATGTCACATCTCTCTATGCTCCACATCCTGTGACGTCAGCCCCCGAGACTTCTTAGATTTGTGACTTCACATTTGTGTCACACGCTAGATGCGCCAAGACAGTGTGTCCTCACTTCCTCCTGGTTCCTGCTACTCACTGTCTTTGTATTTGAAGATGCCTCATTTAGTTAAGGAGGGGGGTACCAGATGCCTCATTTAGTTAAGGGGGGGATACTGGAGATCACCAGGACCTACAAGATATTAAAAAACGCTCTAACACACATATGCTTACAACATGAGTGCGTCTGGGGACATTATATGTGAAATAAGCCCAACACAAAGCATCAAATAATGTGTGAGTCCACTTCTAGGAGGGACTTGGAGAAGTTGAAATTCATAATGACAGAACGTGGAATGGTGGGCGCCAGGACAGGGAGGGGGCTGGGGAGTTAGTGTTTAATGGTGGAAAGTTTCAGTTTGGGGTGATAAAAAGGTCCTGGAGATGGATGGAGGGGGTGCTGGTTGTGTAACAATGTGAAGGCACTTAATGGTACTGAATTAAAATTAGTTAAAAAATAGCTAAAATGGTAAATCCAATGTCATGTATCTTTAACCACAATTTCAAAAAAAGGCATTAATCATTAACACAGATGATTAATGAAACACTAGGGCAGGGGGAGAAGACTTTGAAGGAAAAATAGGTAGCAGTGCGAAGCATTTTGTATCATAAATAAACGCCCTTTGCTCGAAAGTCCTTATTGGTGATTTCACAAGATCTTGTGTTCTCGATTCTTGGAAACCGCCAGAACACGTTCTGTGCCAATGGGAAGATATTCTCTACATTGTTAGCTCTATAATATAGACATTACTGGACTTTAAATAGAAACCTGTGTTGTAAGATTTCTGATATCCCCAAAAAATTAAGATCTGCTTAGTTACTTGATTTAAAAAATTAGGCAGCACATACTTTTATTCCTGGTATCTGGTAGGTCTCTCTCGTTGCCCAGTTGTTTACTGATAAGGACATTAAATCCATATTTGAATCTTTATATAATTCTGGGTCCGCATAGTTAGAACTGTGACCTGTAAGGAAGGTGTTAGAGTTACATAAGTACAGGCTCATTATCATTTTGATGCAGGACTCTAAGAACAACTGTACTTGAAACTCACCTTTTCCCAGAACCCCCAGGCACCAGCACAAGGCGCTGTGGGAGGGTCCCAGTGAGCTCTGTTTGGGGATTTTCTGACAAGGTTAAAATCAAAGTATTCACACAAATCACAGCAGACTTCTTAGAAGAAGAATCAGC